TGGCGCAGCCCCTGAGCCCGGGGATGCGCAGGCGGAGGCGCCAGCTCCTGCAAGCTCCGGACTCAGGATGCCCGAAGTCCGTGCGGGTCCCCAGCCCTGCAGGGGGCCCCTGGAGAGGAAACCGGTCCCCTCGCGAGGGCCTCGCCAGCATGTGGTGCGCCTCCGGGTGCAGCGGAGGAGCGGGGCAGCGGGCGGGGCGGCCAGCGTTCGCGGAGTCCCCGGGGGGTCGCCCTCGTGGAGTCCAGGACGGTGGGACACGCCTCCGTGCCCCTCTCGGATCAGCCTCCGAGCCGAATAAATGACGCTGGCCATCCCCCACAATGCACCTCGTCTCCTGTGAACGCGCCCACTGCCAAACTGCTTTGTTTGTTTTGACACAGAAGCCGCTGCACCCTGCGCATGGCTGCGGGCAGTCCCTCGAGGCCATGGTCACGAGGGCGGCAGATCATCGTCTCCACACTCGTAGTCGTACAGGTCGACGGAGCCCAGTGCAGATGGCGCCTCGAAGAAGGGCCTCTGGGCCAGCGGAGACCGCCGAGCGCTCAGCTTGTGCTCCACGGGGCTGAGCTCTGCCTCGTACCTGCGGGGAGCGGGAGGTGAGACAGACCCACGCGGGGCCCTGTGCCCACGCCCCGGGGGACGTGGGGACGGTACCTGGGGGGCTGGGAATGGCAGCCTGGACCCGGGGAGGCCCCTCCTGCAGTCAGACCCACCAGGGAGGGTGCCCTCCCGCCCAGCAGGTGACCCCCAGGCAGCCGCCAGCTCAGAGCACAGGTCACTGACTGCAGGCCCCGACGCAGCTCTGCTGAATGCCACCCACGGGTGACGTACAGTTCTCCACACACGCTGCCAGATACAGGAGAAGAAGGGGCAGGAGGCAGCGTCCTGACACCAAACGCCACTGTCACAACATGAACGACATGCAGTTCTCGCAAACGGAGCCAATGACGTCTGCGAACAGGGCACGTGTATCTTGCATAAAAGAGGCTCAGCATGACAAGGGGCGCTGCCTTAGGACTGCCAAGAGGGTCAGCCGTCACCCGCCACGCGGACCAACATATCCCGCCACGCGGACCAACATCACCCGCCACGCTGATCAACATACCCCGCCACGCGGACCAACATATCCTGCCGCGCTCAGCCCCAGCGCTCGGCGCACGCTGCCACCAAGGACAGGCTGTGCAGACACGCGTCTACACAGCAGGACAGGTGGGAAAGCACGCACCCACGGCCAGGGGCTCGCGGCAAGCACGCCGAGCCTGTCTGATGGCGTGAACAGTGCTGGAGCAAACACATCTGCGTGTGTGAAAACAGACCTCAGTGCCCCCGCACACCCACAGCGACCAAAAGTAATGGACCACACGTAAATGAAAGCACTATCACTTCTAGAAGAAAGTTTTCGTAGCTTTGGGTTAGCCCACGATTTCTCAGATATGACACCAAAAGCCCAGGAAATAAAGCCCACAAACTGATAAATGGCGCTTCGTCACAATGAACAGAACTACGTTAGATGAAAAGGTGTAACAAACAGGGATGCTAACAAACCACGCGGCCCATAAGGACTTGTGTCCAGAAGACATAACCCTTAAAATCCAATAACCACAAAATAAATACATTCATATATCAAAGTTGTTATTGAAAAAAAACCTGGTAACCAACCAACCCCAAATGAAGAATGGGAGACGAGGTGCTTCACCCAAAAGATACATGTGTACTGGGCTGACAAGGACACGGCAGGGACCAGCTGAAACGTGAGACACTACACCGCAGCGGCTCCGGGGAGGACGTGCAGCAAGTGGACCCTCAGCCGGGCTACTGGGGACGCAAAGTGCTGCAGCCGGTTGGGAGAAAGTGGGCAGGTGCTTACACAGGTAAAAGCAGTCACCACGGAGCCACTCCAAGCCCACGACGACGCCCACCCGTGAGCCACGCCCACCGCACGGCCACGCCCACCGGCATCTCACCCTGGACACCGCCAGGTACGGAGCGGGGAGAGACTTACACAGAGAGCAGTGTGAATGTTTAATGGTGGCTTTGTCCTCATAAAATTGCCTGAAACTGGAAGCAAAGCCACCCCCATGCCATCACCTGATAGTAACCACTGTGTTACCAAACCGAGGACACTGCTTAGCACTGAGATGAACAGGCTCCTGCTGTCCCTGCGTCCCCTTGTCCCCATCTCCCTCCCGGCCGCCCCTGCATCCTCAAGTGTCCCCCACTCACCCGTCCTCCCAGGGCTCCCCCGCAGCCTCCTCGGCCACCAGGATGTCGTACTCCTCCGCCGCGTACTTCTCCCAGTCCGACAGCTCGGGGCCTTCGCTCTCGCTCTCCTACATCAGACGCGGGTCAGGGTGTGCGCGGGCCGCTGGGCCACTTTGGGGCCACCCGCGCGCTCCCGGCCTGCTCGCCCTCGGAGGCCGCCCCTCGCACGCGCCCCAGCCCGGCCGCTCACCCTGAGCAGGGACGCCTGCTCTCTCTGCTCGTGATCCAAGTACTTCTCGATGTTGAAGAAGGTGTCGAAGAAGACGTTGGCGAGCTTGCAGCTCTTCAGGTCGTGCAGCGTGATCTTCCCTGAGGAGGCGGACGCTTTAGACACGGCACTGCGTGCACTTCCAAAGCGGGTTTTGGGTGCAGCCACAGGTCTTGAGAAACGTGGCAAGACACTGTGTTCTGACGCAAGCTGACGTGGAAAGTGGACACTAGGGGGTTCCGGGCTGGACGGTGGCGGGTGGGGCAGAGCAGAGTCCTGGGGTCCTATGTGCTCCCGCCGCCCAAGAGGACAGAGCACAGGGAGGGCAGCAGCTCTGGCCACCAGGGGGCAGTACACACACAACGGAGACTGCACAGGAGGGACCGGGGCCCCAGAACCATGCAGTTACAGCCAGACCAGGACTCCAGGACCTGGAACGCAGCACTGACTGAGGCGTCCAAGTTCAGAGACTGTCTCCCGCTGTCCCTTCGACCTCAGGTGTCCCTGGGTCCCCCATGTGCGGCCGTCAGCCTCCCCTTGTAGGGCTTCTCAGGTGAGGGGTGTCAGGGCACCCCTGGTGGACCTGGGGTTCCCTGTACTGGGTGGGGGACGGCACAGGGCTGGGACTCAAGCTGCCTGGGGACAAGGTGCCGAGCCAAGTGGCACATGACCGCAGCATGCCCCACACCAGGGGTCCCAGGCTAGGTCTCCCGTGATGAGCGATGCTGGCACCGAGGGACAGGGGGACATGGAAGTGGGGTCAGGGACAGCCACTTTCCTGGCCCAGGGAAAGTATGTGTGCCTACCCTACAGGACAGGATCCTGTCATGGGAAGGCGGAGGGGAACAGGAAGAAATGGGACACACCCTGAGCTGTGTCAAAACGGAGTGACTGTCCAGCAGACGAGAGGGCTGAGGTCCCAGGTGCTGCCCTGGGCGCTGTCTCCAGCGACAGGAAGTTGGTACGAGCCTCCCTGAGGCCCCGCCCAGCGGTCACCAACTCGGAGCAGGGACGCCCTGCCTGAGTGGGTGTCGCACCTCACAGGGTGTCCTCTGCAGCTGTTACCTTCGTTCTGGGGCTTCACCAGGTCCAGCATCTGGCAGAGGCAGTCCTCAAAGGGCAGGGCCTCGATGGCCATGCTGTCCAGCCGGCGACACTGCTCCTCGTAGAAATACTCCAGCTCGAACATGGACAGTGCCCCGTCCCCATCCAGGTCCATGCAGCGGAACCAGTACTCGATGCTGCGGCCACGGCGGACAGGGTGGGCCTCGTCAGCCTGGCCGCTCAGCGCAGACCCCACCTGCCCGGCCAACTCCACCCGGCAAGGAGCTGCCTAGGACAACCTGGCAGGCGAGGACCCCGCCTGGGACACACGCCATCTGGGGCCTCTGCCTGGGACTGACCTCCCCCAGGATGGTCCCCAGGTGGCGCCCTTGCTCAGGGGTGACAACTAGCCCATGCTGCCCTGCTCCGCCAGGGGACCCGGGACGCTGGCCGACACCTACCTGGTCGGGGTTTTCTTGTCTTCCTCAGAGATCAGAAACCAGACAAAGTCAGCGTAGCTTATTTTCCCTTCTTTTTGCACCTTTCTACCTCTGGGGTCAGGGCCGGGATCGAGAGACAAGATGTGTCAGGGGGGAGCAGTGTGAGGTCGCAGACCCCTGCCCACCCCTTCCTGTGACGCGTGTGTCCCCCTTCCTCATGACCTCACGCGACAAAGGTGTGTCCCCTCATTTATGATCTCGTGTGACAGCTGTGTGTCCTCCCTATGACCTGGTGTGACAGCAGCACGTGGCCCCCCTTACTCAGAACACGACAAGCTTGTGTCAGGGTGTGAGACGGAACTGGACGCGCACACCACACACTGCGGCCAGCAGACACACAGGCGCCTGCGGGACACACGTACCGTGTCACCGCTCCCGAGAAGACCCTCTCGATCATCTTGGTGGATATGGCTGTGAAGGAGGAGTGAGCCGTGAGCCGCCCGGGGCCAGCACCTGCCGTCGCCTCAGACGCCCGTGGGCAGCACCCCGGGACCCCGAGCTCCGGCACACGCCACCCCGGGACCCGCCAGGGCTTTCCGGTCCCAGTCCCAGGGGCCGGAGCCCCAGTCAGAGCCACAGGTGAGAGAAGCTGACCCGGGAACCCTGACGGTGCGACTGTGAGCACACGCTTGTGGTCCCGGCCTGAGACGCTCCGCTTCCGGCCGCCCTTGCTGCTGATGAGAGCGAACGCACTGCCTGCGAGGCGGCTACCAGGGTGAACGTGAGGGCCGCTGCGTTTCTGTGCTGGGCCACCATCACGGGGACCCCAGACGGGGTGGCTCAGACGGCGGGATTTACCCCTCCTCGTCTTGGGGTCTGGACGTCTGAAGTCAAGGTCTCATCAAGGTCTGTTTGTGCTGGGGCCTCTCTCTGGTGTGTGGATGCTGCCTTTTCCCCGTGTCCTCGCATGCTCATCCCTGTGTGTGTGTCTGTGTTCCCGTCCACTCCTCTTACAAGGACACAGTCCTATTGGATCAAGGCCCGCCTTGCTGACCCCATTGTACCTTGATCCCTGCTGTAAAGACCTATCTCCATATCCGGCCACGTTCTGAGGTCCTGGGGGTGATGGCTCCAACATACAAATTTTGAGGGACACAATTCAATCCACAGCTATGCCCACAAGACGGGGAAATGAAGACACAGTCTCTCCCCATCCCGAATCACCCCAACTCAATGAAAGCCACTCCTGATGGGAAGGACTGGGTGGTGTTACAGGCTGAACTGTGTCCCCCAAAAAGAGAGGTCCGTGTCCTGATCCTCAGGATCTCAGCATGGGGCCTTGTCTGGAAACAGGGTCTTTGTGGATGTGACTAAGTGAAGGGTCTGAGATGAGTCCTCCTGGAGCAGGTGGCCCTACACCCAGTGACAGTGTCCTTGTAAGAGACTGACGAAGTGACACAGACACAGAGGAGAAGCCATGTGGAGATGGAGGCAGAGATGGGAGGGACATGGCCACCAGCCCAGGGACGCCTGGAGACCCCACAAGCTAGAAGGGGCAGGAAGGACTGTCCCCTGGACCCTCTGGAGGGAGTGAGGCCCTGAGATACTTTGCTGTCACCCTGCTGGTCTGAGAACTGGTAGGACAGTCCCCGATACCCGGGGACAGACCAAGGAGACCTGGGTGAGGTGCCCTGGTCAGGTGTGCAGGGGTCCTGACAACAGGCGCACACTGGCTCCATGCCTGCCTGCTGCAGGCCCCATGTCCCCGCCCCATGTCCCCGCCCCATGTCCCCGCCCCGTCTCGCGGTGGAGAGGCTGCAGGGACCTATGTGCCTGTGCACCCTGTGTCTGCTGTGTGTCCTGCAGCCACAGGCGGCCCCAGGAGGGGCGGTGGGGAGGACACGGCCGGCTGCGAGGCGGCAGGCCTCGCCCCCGAGAGCGGGCGAGTGCGCGCCACCGCGCAGGGCCGGCGCTCACCATGGTCGTTGTGCCGTGCCAGGTCCTGCGCGTCGATGAGCAGGTCGTGGTCAGTGTCCAGCTCCCAGAACTTGCAATAGATGACGTAGAAGTGCTCGTAGGAGAAGAAGTCTGTCAGCTGGTTGATGTCCGCTTCCTCTTCCAGCAGCGCCACGTTCTGCCAAGGAAACCGCGAAAGGCCTGCGGCTCCTGCGGGCGCCCCGGGGACCTCGCACGGGCCTGCGGAGGGCGCAGAGCTGGGCGGGACCTGCTCAAGGGGCCGGGGCGCTGCACCGCGGTCAGGGCTGTGTGTGGGCTGTGGGGCCAGCGCTTGGAGCGCGAATGCCGCATGGCTGGGGCCGTGGGCACGGGCAGCTCAGCGCCCCGGGCTCATTACCCGGCATGCACTGAACCTTGGCGCCAGGGGCGCCCCCCCACCCCACTCCGCACCCCTATTCCCACGGGCCGTGCCTCCTGGATGGGTGGATGGGCGGATGGGCAGTGCATGACGTGTGGAAGGCTGGATAAAAGCGTGAACAGATGGCCGGAGAAGCAGATGGGTGACGCATGGAAGGACAGAAAGATGCACAGACAGGTGATGCGTGGAAGGACGGACAGAAGGTGCGTGGCCGCGTCAGGAGGCCCCGCCCCCTCGCCGGCCCACCTGCAGGAAGGTGCTCCTCCGCAGCTCTGCGCACGTGATCCTCCCGGACCAGGACCGGTTGACCGTGTAGAAGATCCTCTGAATGACCTGCGGGAATGCGGTGTCAGACCGGCCCGGGTCTCCGGGCTGCAGGACCGCCACGTCGCCGGCAGAGGGCGCCCGCCCCGCACGAAGGACACAGGTGGGCCGCAGATGCGGTGGGCGCGCGCCACGGCAGGACGGGCTGCCGGGGCAGGCATGGGGCGGTAGACAGTCCGCCGGGGCTGGAAGTCCTCACAGCAAGTGGTTAAACCAAAGTCACAACGCCCTAAACTTCCACCAACACTGAGCACTGAGTGAAAAGAACACAGTCAAGGCTGGACTGACAGCTCCGACTACGCAGTGAGGCCCGGTGTGTGCGCAAGGCTCGGCAGATGAAGACGCCCGCACCTGTCCTCACCTGTCCTGACCTGTCCCGTCCTAGGACGTCCCCTCACCTGTCCTCACATTGGGCATTTTCTCACCTGTCCTGGTCCCAGGATGGCCCCTCACCTGTTCTCATCTAGGATGGTCCTTCACCTGTCCTCAACTAAGATGTCCCACCCTAGGAGGCCCCCTCATTTGTCCCTGGGTAGTGGGGACAGAATGTGCGCATGCAGTGCCCTACATATCAATACACAGCCTCATTTACAGTCAACACAGGAAGCTGCCGGTGCAGAGACGGTGACAGCGAGACACACTGAGTGTGTGGCCCCATGACACACGGGGCTCCTCACGTGTGTACCCTGTGTGTCAGGGGACGCCGGGTGCTCCCAGCCAGAGCCCACGGCACACACTGGGCTGCCCAGAGCAGCATGCTGCGTGTGGGCCTGGTGTGTAGGTGGATGTCCGGGGACAAGAGTGAGACCTGTGTCCCAGGCTGTGCTCTGACTGGGGGAGCCCGGGACAGGGCTCGGCCGTGCCATCCGCTGTGTCCTCAGGCCCGGTCAGTGCCCAGCGCATGATGCTTGGAGAGCACAGTGATTTGGGAACTGGCGAGTGTGCTCCCCTAACGCTAAAACGTCCCGCATGCTGCGTGGCCCCAGGCCAGCCTTTCTGGCTGGGTGCCGGGGAGAAGGCAGGGTCCGTGGCGCGTCCCCCTCGTGCCCGCCCCACACCAGCATGATGCCAGGTGTGCAGCGAGGGCCACCGGGCGGTGGAGAGCGCGCCTGCTGGGTGTCGGTTAGACACGGCTGCCCGCAGCCCCTTGGCGCGGGCCCCAGAGCAGGGCCCGGTGTTTTGTGTCCGGGCGAGCACACGGGGTGCCCCTCCGCAGGCTGTCGGCCGGCCGGCCCTGGGCACCTAGGAAGCAGCAGGCGAGGTACTCACCGTGGTGATGTAGCGAGAGTGGAAGTCCGCCGCCTCCTTCAGGAAAGCCAGCCCGGGGTGCGTGTCCACCACGTCCTGCGCACGGGCACAGCGGTCAGTGCGGGGCCGCGCCTGGGCCTCTGGCCCGGCCCGGTCTGCAAACATCCAGCCACACTGCGGCCTCCGGGGGGCCATGTCAGGCGACTGCAGCCGGCCAGCCGACCCGGGCCCAGGACACGCCCGGCACCCGAGGTGACAGCTGTCACCCTGCCTCTCACAGCAGGGTCACTGATCACAGACACACGAGGACCGATGCGCCGTCCACGCAAAACTGAACTAGCCACACGCGATGGACCGCCACAATCACAGGACAGGGGCCCTCGGACCACCCCGCTGGGACGGCGCTGGCGGCTTCGGTTCCTCGTGACAACTGAGTGAGCGTCTTCTAACCCTTAATGGAGCCGCTGCCGTCACCTCCCGGCTGCGACACGCACTGAACTGTTTCACAGTAGAGACTCGCGTGGGAGACGCCAGCTCCTGCGACACTGTGACCTGTTTTAGGCAGAAAGGCCCGTGCCCAGGGCCAGCCTTCCCTATGTCTCAGGCCCTCCATGGCCCATGGGGACAGAACAAGAAGTGTCTGCGCCCTCCTGTCCCGCAGGTCAGAATGGCCACTCGTCAAACTAGCTTCATGGGAGGCGTCACCCACGGGAGGGGTCAGACTCCAGGTCCATGCAGCACAGATGATGGGGTGAGGTGCGTGCCGTATACACGGGGTGAGGTGCATGCAGTGTAGACAAGGGGGTGAGGTGTGTGCCATGTAGACAAGGGCACGGTGAGGTGTGTGAGCTGTAGACAAGGGGTGAGGTGCAAATGGTGTACACGAGCGCTGTGCCTGCGAAAAGGCATACGGTGTAGATGGGAGCTGCACCTGCAGGAAGGGGTGAGGTGGGTGCGGTGTAGACGGGGGTGAGGTGGGTGCGGTGTAGACGGGTGAGGTGTGTGAGCTGTAGACGAGGGGTAAGGTGCATGCCGTGTAGATGGGGTGAGGTGCGTGCGGTGTAGACGGGAGGTGAGGTGGTTGCGGTGTAGACGGGGGTGAGGTGGGTGGGTGTAGACGGGGGTGAGGTGGGTGCGGTGTAGACGAGCGCTGTGCCTTCAGGAGGCGCAAGGTGTTTCCGGGAGCTGTACCTGCAGGAAGGGGATGAAGTCCTCCTGCACCAGGTAGTTGCAGCCGGGGCTCATGAGCAGGTGGACGAACCGGGCAGCGTCGTCGTGACAGTTCTGCAGGACCCTGGGAAGCGCAGAGGGCGTCTGCATGTCCTCACACACGGGCGACCACAGGGCCTGCCGCAGCCTGGGGCTCAGGCTCGGCCACATGGGGCGCAAACGGGAGGGGGCTGCAGAAGGACCGCGGTGTCGCCCCCTGCCGTGCCCACCCCGCCCCGGCGACCCCGGACTCACTTCCTCCACATGGCGACGAACTTGTGCACAGAGACGGAGCCGGTGCGTTCCCCGCCGGCTCCACAGAAGAGAGGTCCCTTCCAGTAGAGGGGGCAGCCACATGCCTGTGGGGGGAGGAAGGGGTCAGCCACGGGGCCGGGGCCCCGGCCCCGGCACCCACCTCGAGGTTCCCCGCAACACAGCCAACGGACACTACTGTCGGAGGCCCGCGGACCCCTGCAGCCAGGGAGGTGACACAGGCTTCTCCGGCTGTCCCACGCGATGCCGCCAAGGGGTCAGGGCTGCTGGGACAGACCACATCCCAAGTGGGACAAGGTAGGTCAGCAATGCCAATGGGCAGATCCCCAACTCTGGACATGAAGCAGCTTCTGAGCACCCACAGGTGAGACGACAATGAGGTAAACTAGAGCACTGTGAATGCGACAGTTGACTACACCTCAGGGAACACCGCGGTGACCAGGCTGCCGCTCCCTGCATCACACACGTGCCCCGCGTCAGACACGTGCCGCAGGAAAGGAGGCTGAAGTCAGCGCTCTGAACTTCTACCTCACACAAGTAAAAAAAGATGGAAAAATTATAAAGCACACATGAAAGACAAAGCAGCAAATACTTAACACAGAAAATCAATAAAACCCAAAGTCAGCTCTTTGAAAAGATTTTAAACAGTGAATCACCCCTTAGCAAAACTCTCTGAGGACAGAAGAAAACACAAAATGCCAACGTCAGCGGCCACATCAGGTCCCAGGGCACTAGGCAGGCAGGAAGTGGATACTGTGTGTAACTTTATGGCAACGAACGCAGCTACTGAGCTGAAGGGACAGATGGCTGGACTATGCGTGTAACCCACAGTGACACAAAAGAAAAACGGAACAGCTCTATACTGCTTCAAGGATGTGAACCCGTCATTTAAGTTTCCCACAGCGAGAATTCCAGCTGCAGAGGCTTTGCCAGTGACCTGCACCGTCCACGGAAGAAGCCGCACGGATCGCAGAGACGCTTCCCGAGAATGAACGTAAGGGACACTTCCCGGTTCTCGTTTGAAGCTGCACATCCTAGAGCCTGAAGCAGGTCAAGGTCACGAGGAAAACCACAGGCCAGTCCCCGTTCGCGAACTCGCACGCAAAACCCTACCCACAACACACATGAGCGTGCTGCATTCAGCAATAAAAACAGAGCCACCGCTGACGCCACAGCCCAGCCGACTGGGAAGAGAGGGAACAGCACGTTGTGACGACGACCGTCCACAGACTCTTGCAGCTCGCGTCGGACACGGGGCAGCCGTGACCTCCCTCCTGGAGCGCGGCGGGAAGAGGCCAGCCCGGGTGCCAGGGCGGGAGAGGTGACAGACACAGAGGGGGACAGCAAGAGGCGGAGCGCCCGGAGGTCACCCTGCCTCACGCGGCGCGCGGCGTGCACCGAGCCCGAGCTACACAGCAGGAGAATCCGCCAAGGACGGCGCACGAGCGGGGAGTAGCGTCAACGCGTTGGCAGCGAGCAACTGGAAGACGACATTCCTGACAGTGCCACACGTCCAACGCATGGAAAAAACTCATCCCACAAATAAATCTAACCCAAAACGCACGAGCCATCTCTGCAAGGAGAAACTGCAGAGCCCGCAGGAGAGGGACTCCCGCGGGTGGGACTGAGCTCCGTCTCGGGTCAGTGACTCCGCATGCGACCCCACGCGTGGGCTGGACGCACGGCAGTCAGCGCTCAGCATGGTGCTTTGTCTGTCTGTTCTGTAGAGACAGCCGCGCTCACTTTAACAAGCTACTCAAGACTTACCGCGCTGAAGGCTGTGTCAGGCGAGGCGGGACGGGCACGCGCCTGGGAGGGGACAGGGGACAGGGCCCCGGGGCCCAGGGGCCGACCTCACACTCAACCCTCGGTGGGAAGGAACGATCTTTGCAGGAGCATGCCGGGTCAAAGGGCAAAGCCTGCCGCATGGGCCCCGCTCCTGGAGGACACGCTGGAGCACCGGCCCCTCCCCCAGGACACAGAGCAGGTCAACGGCAGACGGGACCCGCACACGAACGCCCCGGCCTGCGGAAGGTCTACGAGGCCGTGTCCGTCACACGCCTCACATGCGGGGTTCCTAAAAACAGCACAGCAACAGAACAGACACGCAACAGCGACCGACGGACGTGCACAGGCCCCAAGGAAAGAACAAGGCGCCAGCGGGCGGAAGGCAGGCTCCATGGCGACAGCGACGCTCAGGGGGCAGGGGCTGAGTGTGCGGGACGGCAGCACGCACGCGTGCGACGGCCACGCCCAGCACGGCAGCTGCTGGCTAGGGCGCACAGCGCAGGGGACGGGCCACAGCCGCCCGGGGACGCGGGCTGGCAGTGTCCGCTGAGGGTGACCCTCACAGACCCCAAGGACACCGACTGTCCTCTAAGGAGGACACCTGCACAGGTGAGCCTCACAGCTGTGAAGATGTGGCCGAGGTATTCCTGGTGACTTCACCAGACGCCCCAGGTGGAACGACGCGGGCTGCAGCCGGGAACGGGGGGAAGGTGCATGCGCCGTGGGGGCCCAGCGAGGAAGGGTCACGGGCAGCGCTGGGGAGCTGCTCTTGCACCTCGAGGGGCACTGGCGGTGGGCACGGGGATGGCACTCGCTGTGGTGCACGGTGGTCACGTGGGTGTGTGAGCTCACTGGCCTGAGGACTGGGCTGACAACGGCACTGTGGTCCGTCACGGTGCGTGCGCAGTGCGTGCCCTGCGGTCTGTGCTCTCCGCCATGGGTGACGCCGCATGCACCCGGCCTCGTCCTGGCAGGCCACGCCCCACGGGCCACACCAGCAGGGCACGCCCCCGGACAGGTGCCAGGTGCAGAGAGCCCACTGCCCAGGACAGGAGCAAACCCCAGCCAGTGTGGCCAAGCTCGGCACCACCCTTTAGACCCATAATGGACAAAACGAGTACAGAATCTGCGGAAACGGAAACGTTTGAAACACTGGAACTGAGGGCACAACCCGACACTGGGGAGCGGGACCCACATCCACGCTCGCGGCCGCTGACCCGGCGCAGGGCCGCGTCTGGGCCCGCGGAAGCGGACTGGAGTCGCTGTCCCCCAGCCCGCACGTCCAAGTCAGAAAGCAACGAGAGGACAGTGTCCAAAGAAGCTGCACGTTTTGAAAAAGGAGATGATGAAATTCTAAATAGCTTGTGGGGCAGAGGAGAAACCACCAGACAAACTGGAATGCAGGCGCCGTGGGTGAAGGTGAGGACCTGCGCGGCCGTGGGGGGCAGGGTACCAGCCCCCCGCAGGACATACAGCACAGAGCGCTCCCCTGGGCAAAGCCGCCTCGCCGAGTGGCCGCAGAGAGAAGCTAAACCTATGGCAGCAGAAGACAGGAAATGATAAAGACTGGAAATCAACGTGATAGGAAATCATTAGGAAAAAATCACTAGAAATGAAAGCAAGTTCTTGGGACAGACCAGAAAAATGCATTTCTGGCCAAAGTGATGGAGAACAGGGGAAAAGACACAGCAACAACAACGCCAGAGATGGCAGAGAGGGCGTCAGCGCAGACCGCGAAAGGGTGGAATCTGACAAAGAACATTATGCCAGTCAACTCCCCGGCTCAGCACGGGACAGGACCTTCGGCAGACGCACAGCATCGTGGCTCACGCGACGTGTCTGCCGGGAGAAACTGACGCCGCGTTCGGTCCTTCCCAGACAGAAGACCCCAACCTCCGTGGCAGACTGGCACACTCCACCGATGAACTAAAAATGACACCGATTCTAAGCGAGTGCGTCCAGAACAGAGAAGAACGAGGGACATTTCCCCTCCGACTGCGAAGCCAGCCGCCCTGGCACCCAGCCAGCCACAGAACAGAGGAAACTGCAGAGCAGCGTCTCCGGTGAACCTACAGCCCTGACGAGACGCCGGTGATCAGAACCTGAAAGCGCAGAGAAAGGAGGAAACGGGACTTCTCCAAGGACGCACGGCTGTGCAGCGGGACCGATAATTCACGCTGTCGCAGACGAAGGAAGGGAACCCACACGGCCACCACGGTGTGTGCACAGCAGCACTGCCCACAGAGGCACGACTTTAAAGAGGAAAAGAGCTCCCAGCGGACTGGAAATAGAAAGGAGCTCGCAAGGGCATCTATGAAAACCCCGCAGCTGCTACCGCGCCTCACGCTCGGAGGCTGACGGTCCCTAAGACGGGGCAGGGGTGAGGGTGCCACGCCCCGTGCAGGCCTCCCGCTTGCCACACCGGTGGCCGTGCTTGGTGAAGCCACGCCGGTCCCCCGCGACATGGCTCCGGTGCCAGCCACCTCGGCACAGGACGTGCGAGTGCTGGTACAGGGCGCGGCCCCTGGAAAGCAAGCGCAAGGGGCCCCTGTCCACAGGGACCTGCCCCTGCGCGTCTGCTCTGCGGTCCACGCACAGCAGCTGCCTGGTGGCAGGGCTGCCCCTCGTACCCCAGCAGGAGAAAAATTTGTAAGAAAACAGGTAGCTGTCAACAGCACCCCAGCTGGGTGACACTCCAGGTCACCCTGGTTCTCTTGGAGGCCCCAACGAAAATGTGAAAACTGCTTTTACCGCCAAAGCTGTCCTTTTATCCAGACACAGGCCAAGGAGCAGCTCGACCCTGGACCTAGCAGCTCAGATGGACGTCCAGACAGGTGACCGGTGCGGCCACCGGAGGAAGCATGGTGTGGCGTGCAGGACGTGACTGGAGGGGACGGCTGTGTGGGGACGGCGTGTGGCCCCAGGGCTCCAGGCCGAGTCGGGAGCTGGAAGCCTCGGTGATGGCACGTTTGCAATGCAAAGGCAGCTGTGAGGGAAAGAAAAAAAGGGGGTGGTGGCAGACGCACCCCCACCACGGGGCCTCGGACACCCCGCAGCGCCGGGCACAGGCGGTGGGGGGCTGGGGTGCACGGTTGAGCAGTGGCGTGGGAACTGCCCGTGCGCACGGCCCAGGCCCAGGTGGACTCTGCCATGCTGTCCACGGAGACAGGAACGGAGAGCTGCTGATTCTGTCGTGGGTCAAGGCCAGGCACTAAACGTCAGCCTGAGTATTTTTTCACTTTTTTACACATCTATAACCAACCATAAGACAGTTTTTAACGTTTCAACAAACACTTTAAATGTTACAAAACACTCAAAATCTTTCCCACTGAGTGAGACTGACTCCATGGCCATTTTCACGGTTCCAGACTATGGAGCAAAATGAGGCCTGCCCGTAGTGACATGCAGTGACCTCCAAGATGTCACGTTCACCAAAACCACCCAGGGGTAGACTAGTACACTACTGCTTACCCAAGGGGAGAAATTAAACGTGGGCACGTGCTCACCTGCGTGCGCGGGTTCGCATCTGCACGCGTTACACATCAACAACAGTACAAGCAACGCTAGGAAACCTCTCACTGACCAGGGAGGAAGGAAACAGTCAACAGACGGACAGAACGTGGGCCCAGCTGAAGATGCCTGCTTTTTAGATTTGACCTTAAACCATGTGCGTTTCCACAAACTTATGAAACAAAACTTTCCACGTGCTTTAGAAAACGCCGTCCCTAACAGAAGGGAACCCTGTCCCCACACGTGCTAAGGCCAGTGCTACCCTAACCTGAAGCAGACACAGGAGCAACAAGGAAAGTGCCAGCGTCTCAGAAACGCAGATGCGCAAATCCTCAGCAAAATGCCAGCAAACAGAATCCAGCAGCACATAAGAAGGTGACACGCCGTGACCAAGGGGGATTTACTCCAGGACTGCAAGGCGGCTTCACTGCTGGAACAATTAACGCCGGTATTAGCGCACTGAATCGAAAGAATAACTACAGAGGGGACCAAGACGCACGAGCCGCCCACGCTGGGAGGGAGCAGCTGAGACAAGTCCTCGCACAGGCGACGAGATGACGGACCCATGAAACCCTGAAGGACGCGCCGGAAACGAACAGAGCTCACAGTTCGGAAGGGCTGCAGGTACCAGATCAATGCACGAAAATCAACTGCAGTTTTCAACACCTGCAGTGAGCAGTCTGAAAATAAATTTCACCTGTAACAGCATAAAAATGGGCAAATGATAAAATACTTTGCAACGAATTAAACAAAAGACATGCAACTTATACCTGAAAACTACAAAACCTTCTCTGAGGCAAGTGAAACTCTGACGGGATGGGAAGAGCCTCCAGGAACACAGGCGGAGGACGAGTCAACACCACAACCCCCCAAATGATCTCCAGAGCAACGCACCCCCACTGGGACCCCGCTGCACCACTGCAGGAAGTGACAAGTGGACCCTAACATCCACGTGGCCTTGCGAGGGAGCCCAAACGTAAAAGTTGACCTGGAAGGCCACGGTCGGAGCCTGACACATCCCGACTTCGGAGCTTGGCACGAGGCCGTGGCGGCAGATCTGTGGGGAGCTGGCGCTGCACGACGATACGGGCCACGGCCCAGACTCGGAATCCGGAGCTGAACCCGGCACGTCGGTCAGCCGGTTCCCTGCGCAGGGGCCGAGACCCTGCAGCTTGGGAAGAACGGTGGCGGACTTTTCCCCTGCAGACGGTGAACTGGACCCGACACGTGAGCGTCCACCAGACCGAGACAGCTGCGAGAGCTGCAGCGCGCAGACAGCGAGCGCTCACCGCTGAGCCTGGATGCGGCAGCGATTTCTTGGATGTGACACTGGAAGCTAAACCAGTGTGACCAGCAACGCGTCCATCCCACTGCGGGGGAGCACGGCGCAGAGAAACGTGAATATCTGCACCGATGTCTGCTGTTGGGCGGACCACCCCAACGCCCGGCGGTGGAGAAACGCACGCACGCCGTGCAGCGGGGGGAGTGGGCTCGGGCACGCGGCCCGGACATGTGCCCGAGAGAGACGCCGGACCCGACAGCACACGGGAGGCTCCGATGACCTGAGGCAGCCAGAACGCGCACGCGCACGCGAGGTGGTTAGGGGTTTCCCACAGGAGGCTTAAGGCGGTTGGGATGACAGGCAGGGGAA